TCTTCGTTAAGTCGAATGACGTTCATACGGTACACGGTGTAACCAGTGTAACGTCAGGGAACCTTTCGATCTCAACGAGTGAAGTTGCAGCAGCCGGGGTTTCGCTGGCACTGCAAAATGTGGCACATCCGTGGGTCTGTTTGAAATCGAGGTAATCACGCGGTGGAAGCCGGGACGGGACGCAAGGCTAGTCAGAACCACGGACGCCTAATCAGCCGATTGTAGCGAGGAAATACCGTTCCCATGGAATGTTAATGCGATCTACACCGGGGATCCTTAGAAACCGCGGCTTCCACTCTGGCAACCGTGAGGCCGAGCAGAGCCCTAAGACGACCCACTTCATCCTCACACGCACGTATCGCGTTGCGCAATAACGCCGTTCTACTGGCTCCTCTCGATTATACGCAACAGTCCTTGCCAAGGGCCTCTTCCACGACCAAAGGTCTTTGCTGTTTTAATAGAGACGTTCTGCTCATCCTCATTATCTCTTCCGCGTTTTCAACTAGAAACTTTACACTACCTGACTCATCTGCAGCTTCTCATGATACCGCGAGTTCATTCTGATGGCTCTTTGGCCAAATGACTGGTGGAGAATTGAATATTGTGGTGACTATTTTCCGAGAGTTATCTCTGTGTTATTATTGTGGAAATTTATGTAAATTTTTATAGGAATGAATTAACATGTTGAATGATGTGGGGGTCACCGGTGGTGATCGTCACCGCAAATTATGCTTGCCTGAATAATTAAAAGAAAATAATGGAAAAACATTATTTTAAACGATATTGCTATTACATAGATAATAATTTCAAAAGCAACTTTTCAATATTTGCTCAGAAGAATACAAGATGCCAGGAACCAAGCAGGAAAGTATGAAATTACAATTTTACGATTCTCCGCCTCGCCTCTATCAGTGGGACCGAATGAAAGGGAAGAGAAAATAACGAGCGAAATGTTATAGAGGATTGATCAAAGTCGATGGTAGAAAGAGGAGGGTGGAATACCGCGAGCCACGTACGAGTCCTCAATCCGGAACTTCATTCGTTCTTGCGGAGATCAAATCCTTGCTCCCCTTTCCACGGTTTCCCGGACACGAACACACAGCTATGCCACTTTTGATACGGTTCCGCCTGGCCAAGGACCTCTCGACCCTGCCTTCGCTTCGGGTCGTCGCGAGCGGCCAGCTGGCAGAGACCTTACCTTTCGCTTAGATGCTTCCTCAAGGTGTGCACGTGCACGCTCCGCGAGCTCACGAATGCGAAGCTTCACGCGTCCCCGTGATATCGCATAAATGCGCGTTCCAGCACCGCTTTCTATCGAAATCGGAAGGAGCTACGGTTCACTTGCCCCCCGTTGCCCTTCCGCGTGCCTAACAGACCGCGATATTTCACACGGCTAATGGATTGAAATTCCTTCGCCTAAGATATCTGTCTTGTACCAACGGAGCCCGCTAATTATCGGATCAATGTATTAAGGATACGCAGAAGGAGTTATGTGTCGTTGGAAATATTGCGGAAGATGCAACTCAATCGGAGTGTACAGTGCGGGGCATGGTAGACATCTCTGAGGAATACGGCGATATAGGAAGAGGGTACCAAGGGAAGTTATTTAAATATTTATGAATGTTCTTTAAATTCTCATTTTGAAGATGTTAATATCAGGATTAATTCAGAAAAATTAATTTAATTTTTAATTTTTCTTGGAGAAGACTACTATGCTGGACACTACAATTTGCAAAAATTCCAGTATATTGCTAATAATTGTAGTTCTATCGAATAGTATGGTACGTCTAATTGCTATATAATATTTTACTAGAATTTACCCTGATTTTAGATCAACCCCAAATTCAAAACGTCACGAAGACTAATGAAAGTCCTAAATGCAACCGTTATACAGAAAATTGCTTTGAAACAATGGAAACTTTTGCATATTTCTAATAAAATAAAACTTTTAAAGTGGGAGGGTATCAACGATGATCCTATGATACGTTCAGTGGTCCGCTGTCGCGGCTCGTTTACAGCCGACCTGTTCGTTGTTGCCTGCCACGATTATAACACGGTTATGACACGGTTATTTATTAATTAACCTTTATACGCGAACTGCCAGCCGCATACCGGCTACCGGGGAATTTATACCGGCTCGTTTGAACGTCGTGATGCAGAATACTTTATACCCGGCGGGGAATTTGCTACGACGATCCTGGTAATCGTCTGACAATTTTTTTTTTCCAACGGGCGTTCTTGTTTCACGGTTGCTCCCAGGACGCTTCCTTGCAAGAAATATGATGGCGGTTTTACATACTTTGAGGGTTCTGAACTGGCCGGGAAGCTCGATGGGTTTTGGGTTGAGTTTCGAACGGGATACACGAAATAATTGTTTCCTAACAATTTATTAGATTCATTATGTTGTGAACTGTTTGATAGAAAAATTTTTATGTTGCAAGATAATAGAATTGTTGTGAATCTAATTGGTATGAAAATTTGTCAGTTTTAGATAGAAAATGGGAGGTTTAATTTCATTATATGTTTGATGAGGTTCGATTAAATTTGATTGGCTATTAAGACATTCAATTTGATTTCAAAAAATTAATTGATTTCTAGAATTAAGAATTAAAATTACCATTGATTTGAAAGAGCATTCTATGAAACAAAATAAATCTATCTTTATTTCTGCACAAAGCTTCAATAGCATTTCCATTTGATGCAAATCTTCAAAATGACTCAAAAAACTAAGAATTTCTTGTATTCCGTCCATTTGCATTTAAATATTCACACGAGCAAGAGACGAACCGCTGGACAAAGGGAATCAAAGATGCGGTTGTTTTGCTACAAAAAAATTTTCAAAGAAAACTTATTCTTTCTTGGCATGCACAAAAATCCGCTTAGCAAAATGGACTCTTGACGTGTAATTGAAGCGTCAGAATATTCTCTTTGTGTATTATTCCTCCTGCCTTCGTTCATTCCCTTTCCCCAACGTACCTGGCTAACTTCGAAACCACTCGAGCTCGTTAAAAATATTTCGCCAAAATAACCCACCACTTTGTATGTTTCATGGAAAATCATTGAAACGAATAAATGAACAACGTCCTCTACAAAGCGAATAACCGTACACGCAAAACGAATAAATTCGACCCACATCGTCGTTTAATTAAATTCGAGACTAAAATTCTGAAAATCTTTATTAATACCGAAAAACTGGCAATTGGTTTCAAAAAAGCTGTGTGAAACAATTTAAATTTATTTTGTATTTTCTAAATTCACAAAGTGGACCAGTAACTGTTAAGTTATAACTATTATAATTTTCAAAATAATTAATACGGTAATAGTGTAAGGATCCCATCCCATAATTCATCAGGGAAGAGAAAAATATGATTGAGCAGCTAATAGGTGAAGAAAAATTCCTGAAGGAATGCAGATTCTCTCCTACAAATTATAAATTTTTATTCAATCATACGTTCATCCGATACGCTTGTTATACGTTCTATTTTTCATAGACGAGCATAATAGGATCAGTTTAATAGGCGTTATTGCACCTAGTTATTACACGATATGAGCAACAAGATTATTAAAGCCTTCACCTGACTGGTTTCAACTTACACACCTGTCTGCGTCGATGATCGCGGAAGACTAATCTCGCGTCAAATAATGCTAATCGTTTTAATTATAATCCAAAAAGGAATATCAGTTACAGTAATCTTCAAAATGTTTCAACAAGATCCTTGCGTGAGGTGCGATATAATTGCGGTGTTAACGTGTAATACTATGTCCCCCTTTTTTTCTCTTCTTTTCTTTTCATCCCATAGCAAGGAGGGTGCAGTGACGCGGGCATAATTAGTCTGACCACGATCAAAGCGTTCCTCCGATGCTTTCAAGCGGACGCAAAGCAACGGCGATGAAAAACATTGCTCGAGGTTGAACAAGTGACGCGAAAAACACGAGAAAAATTACTTAAACCCTTTCGTCGAGGTAACGACGGCGGTGGATCGATAAATAATTAAAAAATTCATCAATAATTTCAATAGCTACTGATTCTTGAATTTTTCGATTTCATGGTTTGTAATAATATGTACGAATATTATTATTCATATCCATGGATCATGAATCATAATCTTTTGTTTCGTATTATTTGACTACATGCATATGTAATTAATTCCTTCATTAATTTAGGAATTGATTAATTGATTGATGTAACACACCAATATTTACATGTAATTACTAATGCTACTAAATTGTATTATTAATCGGTACCTTTATGACATTGCCAGAATATCAATGCATAATGTGACCTGTTTATCCAACAGCCAAATGCATGCGTATTGAAAAAATTTTAAAACTCAATTTTTCCTAATTTTTTATTTATTGTTAAATAATTGAATACTTGAATAGTTGATTCAAGAGCGGTTAAAAGAATTTTATTCCACATCTGGTGGATTCGCGTTACGACCCAACTGTTAATCACTAATTGTCACCGTTCAACACCGTAAATATCCGTCACCGGTGGTAACAGAATCAAACAGAAGCACCGGCATCGATATTGGAAAAGTGTCTCGTAAATAGCCGTTCGGCGAAATGACAGACACGAGAAATCTGGGTGGTCCGTAGCTATTTCTCTGCAAGTTTTCCACCAGGATAACTCGTCCCGCCGGTGTTCGAGCTCGCATGAAACGTCGGGAACGGCCGCTTCATGACCAAGAAACACTCTAGAGTCTGTAGGAGCGTGATGTAACGTCCTCCCCCGATCGAGGAATCCAATAACTGGAAAACGCATTGGAGCGTGTCGAGGTGCCTTCGATTCTCGAACAGCTACGCTCGACGATAGACTACGACGAGTAAGGGCACGGTGTGTGCGTCGATTCGCGACGAATCACGGCACGGTCTCGGTCCTAGTATGCGGATATCGTGGCCATGACGAAAAGCCAGGTCGCCGGAAACGATCGTTTCCACGAATAGAATTCGCGATATCCGCGCGAACGAATGCATAGCTGTGTCTTTTTTCTACTCACCGGCACAGGAAATCTCTCTCCCCTAAACAGAGCTCGAGGCAGTGCTGTCGCGATGATGCGTTCATGGTTCTTCGTGTGTGGCCCTGAAGACGGTGTCCCTGCACTCTGTCGATACACCAGGCTCGTTCGCATGGTTTCACGGCCAGGCAACTTTTCTGGGCGTAGATCGTGAACACTGGAAATTGGGATTGCGATAGAGCACCTGAAACAAAGAAATATTTTACGACCTGATAAGAGCAATAAAATCTGATCGATTCATCTTAATCCCATTGTTATTTGTCGAAGGCGCAAAAGTGTTCATCAACCGTTTGAAAAACGAGGAGAAAGAGAAGCGTAGGATTTATAGAAAGCGGTACAAATATGCGCCCGGTGTAATAGCTGGGATCAACCTTGACAGTGATAAAGCTACTGCTATATTTAACGGTGGAACGAGACGTTCGATGTGCAGTGGATAACATAAATCCTGGCGGACTTTGATTTGTGGAAATACAAGATTAGCTTGCTGGTTAGAAATTAATGTCCTATCAGATCGTTCGTAGGGAAAGAAAGAAAAAGAAAGAAAAAAATGAAAGTACAAATATATCAATTGGAGAGGCACACTTGGATTTCAATTACCACGTGCCACTAATGTTCTCCGGAGTAAGACTTCGAACCGATTTTTCTCGGAAAGTTCGCGCACCCCCCCGTTGCTCGGCAACATTCAAATTCAACTTTCCAATTCCGAATTGACGCTGATCAATGCCTGTTATTCTCGCAAGCGAGGGAAAGTATCTCGAGGCAGGCAGCTCGTTATTCTTTGGCTGTCGATCGGTGGGTCGAGAGGGGTCGCGTTAAGTGGCGGAATAATTTCTCCGCGCTCGGGTGTCGCCTGTCGAGTCGTCACCCTTCACGAGATCATAATTAATCTCGCCAGGGCTTAAGCTCGTGAAAGGAGGACGTCGAGGGACGTTTTCGAACGTGATTCGTTGAAAAGTTTCAGGTCACACGCAGGAGGGGGACAGGTAACGAGGTAACAGGTTCAACGGAACACGGAACATCGATTTTCCAAGCAGGCGCTAAAGGTATTCAATTACCTGGCCTCAGCCGACGCTCCGCGGGCTTAATGACTGTAGCTAATTTTAATGAGCGGTGCCCGCGACCATAACGACCAACCAACACCGGCTTTTCTTCCTTCTCCGGGGATCTATGGTGTCGAATCATTCGTGGAACGTCGTTCCGTAGGAAGATGTTGCTCGTTACGGCCTGGGGGGTAAGCGCATTACAGTAATCAACCGGTCACTTCCGGGGATCTATATGCAGAAGATCAGCTACCACTTTACTCGTTGTAATGCTACCGCGTTACCAGTTAATACCGAATCCACCAATCGTAAACACTTCGGTGAAATAGAAAACTGTATTAAAATTAGAGCTCTCTTCATGGTCCGCCATCCGAGCGGTAAATTTCACTATTTCTATGTCATCCGTCATAAATCATTTTTATTTGAAATAAAATTAAAATCTAGCCCATTATCTGTATATTTTATTATTATAAAACACAATAGATTTTTAGAAATATCAGTACAATTGTGCTGATATAAAAGAATAAGGGTAGTTTTCTATTTCCCCCATGTTTTCAATGTTTTTCTCGTTACTTGTTTCCATTACACCTGCCCAGACGCAATCTTTTGCAGTGTTCGACGTTTCCCGATTTCACATCCCTTTTTCCGTGTCACATGCCCGGAACTTAATATCGAAGCGTAGTTTCTTCGTTGGGTAACAGTCATCCACGAAACGAGGAATTTTCGTCCTCGCCGGGTGAGAAAATTGCGGGAAAAATTCCGAGGTGTAGGAATAGAGGGAATCTCCCGGGGGAACTGGAATAGACTGTTCATGGTTATTCTGTAACCGTGATCGTTCGTGCAGAAACATCTGATTTTTATTTGAAAATTAAATTTTCATTTTTCAGATTTATAAAAATTTAGCAAACACGATTAAAATAAATATTTCCAATAAAATAGCGTAAATATAAAATTAAATATTGAAATTTCTATCTCCTTTATCTCAAATCACGGTTTATCGATCATCATGCTAAACGATCAATTTGTAAGTGATGTTGGCAGCTAATCAGTGATCAATTTGTATAATTATATGTAAAAGAAGGGGTGTAGTCATACTACGTGTAAAAAAAGCGTAGTACACGGGATATCGGTGGGTATTGACCGGTGCTATCGTTTCATGTTTTTCACCGTTCGCTTAACCAGCTTCCGCGTCGCTCGTTTCGCTATGAAAAATATCCTTCCCGTACGTACAACACCGCAAACTGCTGTTGAAATAGCTGGACGCCCAAATGCGTGATAAATATCGGTCATTAGGTGCACCAGGGAAGACTAATTCCTGAAAAGGAATTCGACCCACTCACGAAACAGTTGATGCACACAGACAATTTTCTACTTTGCTGTTGGATATAGATTTGGGGATGAAAATAGTTCCAAAATGGCCTTTAAAATAATTTCAAATAGAACTGACTTTTAATAAAATATACAAATTCTCAATTATATGAATTATTTTTCATTTTTTTCTTATAGGTAAAGATTTATTAATTGTAAATAGTAGATTTGCAAAAATCTATTTTGCGATATTAATTAAAATTCCATTTAATTTTCAGCGAATTTTGAATGGATCCGCTTCCTTGTCCCATACATTCTTGTTACCAGCGAAATTGCACAGTTTATCAATAAAACGAAACAATCAGTGAACCGAACCGAAACTGTCAATCTCTGAAAGCACGTCGTTCTGGCATAGTTCCAGTTGCCTCCCAGTTTTCTGCTTTCGTTTCTTCGTCCCGGGGGATGCAGATCCCGTGCAAGATTACGCGCAGTCATAAATCTTTTAATTTCTGCTGGAAACGTAGCAGGTACAAGATTAACGTTGCCGCTTCGAAAGCTACCGTCTTCGCAAAGCAGATTCCGCTCTTAAACGCAGTATCGGAGTCTCGTCTCTCTATTGGCCGGTTATATTCGTGCCGGGGCTCCTTATCGTCAGAACCACCCTACTTTGCTGTACAAAAATCTTCCACCATAAGACGTGCTTAAGAGGACGAAATAGCTTTACATCGCTATAAATCTCTCGAGAGATTTATCAGCCGGCGCATCCTTCTGCCGGCGTGCACCGTAATCTGTCACAAAAGTAACGAAGCTGATTTGCCTCATTTTAATTGAGATTTTTCTTCCAGAAATAAGATGACTTACTAAATAATTCCTTCTGCAAGGTAATATACTCTCTTGAGCATTCGTTATACCAATGGAAACCGGATTGGAAGCAAGCGAGTTGCAAAATAAGGCGATACTCTGTAAGATAATTCATTCATGAAATAGTACGTTTTCTTAGACGGTAATTCCAAGTGGAAATAAAGTTGAAAATATTTTCTTGAGGGTTGTTTTGGTTAAGTATTTTGAATCTTAAAATTTTTATAAATATCAGGGGAATTGATGAAATAAAAGTTCAAAATTTAATAAGAAATTAAATTGAAAATTTAATCCCTAGCAGGGATTTTTAAAATTCACTTTCGTTGCCATAACAGCAATTCACGTTTATCATTTTATCCTGAAACAGAGGATAGAAAGGATACTTCCTGTGGGGGTTGTCACGACGATGAAGGGAAAAAAATGTGGGCGCATCTGCGGTATTATGGGAAGAGGCGAGTCGCACAAAATGATGCAAGTAAACCCGTCTGTGTGTAGCAGCGCGGTGGAATAGTTCGATTTCTGATATACGAGGCGCATTTAGATACGATTCAGCTTCAAGTGGCATCGGCAACGTACCACACTCGCTGTCCCAGCGGCTACATTGCGCGGCCAACTTGATGTATAATCTCGCTTTTCTTTATCCGCCCTTTCTCTAGCTTTTTCTTCCAACCGCGATCCTATTTCTCTTTGTCCGCTTCGACTTCCTTCCGCGAACAAAGCCCGCGAAACCCTTTCTCTAGGAGAACTTTCCGTCTTTGCTTTTGCGCCGCGCATTCCGATACAAGGTGGTCCCGCACTGTTCTAACCCTTTGTAGTCATATTTTCTTCAGATATAGCTAAGAAAGATTTAATATGTTGCAAAGGATCGAGCATGTGGGCCGATTTTTGATAATTTTGTAGAATTTTGATATTTAGTAAATAATCTAGAGATCCACGGTTCAAATCCTTGGTTCCCAACATTTTTATTTTTTTAATGATACTTTGTCTCTTTTTGAATAACTATTACATAAAAATTATCATAAAAAAAAAAAAAAAAATTTTGGGTACCAAGGATTTGAACCGCGGACCTTTAGATTGCGAGTCATGTGTTTAACCACGGAGTGGATCCATGACTCGCAATCTGAAGGTCCTCGGTTCAAATCCCTGGTTCCCAAAAAATTTTTTTTTTTGTTTTATGATAATTTTTATGTAATAGTTATTCAAAAAGAGACAAATTATCACTAAAAAATAAAAAAAAATGTTGGTAACCAAGGATTTGAACCGTGGATCTCTAGATTGCGAGTTGTATGTGTGAGTTTGTCATATTTCAGTATGTAAGGAGTAACTAACTGTAATTGTTAATATCTTTTAAACAATTAGCCGTCTACCCCCAAAACGGGGTATAGGCGTGTTCAGCTCGACGAACTCTACAAGCTGGCAAAGTTTCATTAATAACTGAGTGTAACACTTGGGTAGTTCTCCGTATTAGATCGAATGTCACCCATTTAGTGTCACGATATATGTACAACACAAGCGGCGCTAATTAAATGATACAATCAACTAGACGTCTCTATGGTGTCCTAAATTAAATTTCAAGATTGCCCCATTCGATGAATGATAAAATCTTTTTCTACCATATCGTAGGTTTGTCCGTGTAGATTAAGTGTTATTATTAAATTGTGCTGTGTAACTGACGGAATCGCCAGGCTGACTTTCAGTTTTGCTCGACCTTCAACTACCTTGAATTATAGATCATTGAACTCGTCGCAGGAACAGGTGTAATTACAACGTCCAGTCCTTCAGAAAGAAAGTACCGTACGTTTTACGTCATGCGTGTAATATGTTTATACAGCATCGTCCAGTAACCGTAACGACACGAATTCACGTTCATCTGGTTCCGTGTTGGACATTTAAAGAGGAATGCGTACCAGACAAAGCAGATAGTTTTGTTTTAACAAATTAAAATACAGTTATGGTTAAATGAACTGGAACTGTTAAG